TCAGGATAGGCTATGCTCTGAAATCTCAGTGGCTGAATACAAAAACGATTTATTTCTTAACCATGTTCAATACAAGCTGGGTGACTCAGTGATTCAGATAACTCCTCCTTTGTGGCTCTACCATCATAGCCCATGGGTTTCCACAAATTGCAGAAGTGGGAGAAGAAGTTGGCAAACATGCACCAGCCCTTGCACCCTTCACCCCTGAAGTGGCACAACACTTGCCCTCAGCCTATTGACCGGCATGGGTCATGTGATCCAACTTAACTGCTTAGGAAGCTGAGAAATTGGAGAGTGCAAAGTTATCTGCTACAATGGCTAACTAGCTTTCTCCATGCCACCTGGTGTTCTGGGAACTTTTGCATTTATATTAACTAATCGTCACAACACCTTTTTGTTATGGAATACGAGTCAGAGAGGTTAAAGAACCAGCCCACAGATGTGCCATGCTACAGCCAAGATTTGGCCTGGTGGTCAGACTTAGTGACAACTTTCCCCTCCCACATGGCTAGACTGATCGCTCCTCTGGCAGTTCCATGTGCTGTGAACCTGCTGTCTAGAGAGAAAGATGCCCCCAAATTGCCCATTACAAACACACAAACTGTCCTACTTCATGCCATTGGCGCAGCGCTATTCAAGTTCTTGAAAGAAGCATAAGAAATCTGACCCTGTGTGTAACATTTTACACGAGTTTCCTGAAGATTTACCACTTCCACATTCTGGGTGGGAAAAAAGCAAAAAACCTTGAAGCTCTGAAAGATGAAGCAACTTGTCGGAGGCCATGCAGTGACTCTCTGCATGCTTCTAGCGAGGAAGGCCAAGCACGTGCCAGGCACTTGATGTGAATCTCTGACAGCCCTGCGCTGTGATCCCACTTCTGTAGATGGGGAGGCCGAGGCCCAAGGCCTTATAGAATGTTCAAGGTCTCAGAGCAAGGACGTGACAGCTGGAATTCAGTCCATCAGACCCTCGTGAGGACTGGAAAAGTAAATCCGTGTGCTTTTTTCCGCAGACTCCGGTGGGTGGAGCACTGAATGACGGTTCCAGAAGTCAAGGAAAGCTGTTCGGAGGGAAGGACCTGTTCTGATGAGTCTTGCAAGCCCCACATTTTTCACCCTTTTAAATTTTTTTCTCTCCTTCGGGCACAATCTGGCAGATCTCAGGTCAGGAGTGTCCTCCTGTCAGCTGATCTCACATCATTTCGGTGGCTCTGAAATGATGGAAAAAGCCTCTGCACAGGCAGGCAGTTTGAGCCCCGCTCCCCAACTCCCACCCCTTCCTCTACAAGTAAGCAGGTCTTAAGAGGCAGGAGAGGTACATTTTTTTATTGAAAGATGGGGAGAGGAAGCTGTCAGATCATGTCAGCATCTATTTTCTCTGGCTTTAAAACATTCGAAATGACACTGACCAGCTCCTGGGCCAAGTGTGAATTCAAGGCCGTAGCTCACAGTGTTTGGGTGGATGATTGATGGGGGTCGGTGAGTTAGGAGGGTCAGGGAACAGACAATAGTCCCTGTCCCCCTTTTCTATTAGAAAATAACTTGCAGCATTCTAGAACAGAGGGAAGCTGTTGAAGATAAGATTGGGGGAAGCTAGGCTAGTCATTCTGAAGGCATCATGGCGTTGTCTACTAGTGTCTCGTGGGGTTTTTAAAGATGAAAAGACGGGAGAGTCTAGCTCTCTAGTTAAAAGCTCAATTACCTTTTAATTGCTCTTCCCTCCTCTCCCAGCCAGATGTTAGTGCTCTGTCTTCGGGCCCTGCCCCATTTTATTCTCTTTGTACCTGTCTGTGGCTCTTGCCTTCCTGCGCATAGTATGGAAATAGATCCTTGACATTTCAGAGGGTTATTTGTCGCACTGATGGGAATCCAGAGTATTTCTTCTGGTTTTTGACCCAGTTTCCTGACAAATAGCATGTGATTTGTCTTACTCCCTGCACATTCATAACAAGGATAAGCTGTGTGCTTAGTCCCAAGTTCTCGCGCGTGTATCTTGTAGTGGGGTACTAATTGCACGATGTGACTTCCAGCATTTGGAATCAATTTAATGCAGCCATTAGCACTGGAGCATTCCGCAGGGGATGCTTTTGGAAAAAGTTTTAAAGATAACTCTTTCTGACTTCCAGCCTGAATCGCTATAGCAGTTTGCTCAGTTGGTTTGGGCCATGGCAACGTTTCAAGCAACGTGTTTTAAGAGTTAGAAAGTCAATGAATCCATCACTGGCAGACCAGTTCCAAAAGACAAGATTTCATTTTTGATCTTTGCTTTTCCTTTACTCATCCAGCGGTTCTGAGGCTCTCCCCTGCGCCATCAGCTGCCACGCTTGAAGTTTTAGCCAGGCTGGGAAGAATTTCATTCCTTCTTACTTCATCCAAAGTTGCCAGATAGTTGGCAGGTGGCCCTCAGACATGGATCTGTAACCCTTATAAACACAGCAGGACAGATGGTGCAACTGCTGAGTAAGGGTGGCTTTGGCCGGGGCTTGTGATTATAATCATGCATTGCTTAGTGACGGGGATATGTTCTGAGAAATTTGTCATCAGGTGATTTCGTTGTGTGAGCATCATAGGGTGCAATAGTATGCACTTACACAAACCTTAGATGATATAGCCCATTACACTCCTAGCCTCCATTATAATCTTTTGAGACCACCCTTGTATATGGCGTGCATGACTATTTGAATTTATCTATAGTGGAGACCTGATGATATCATTCATAGCTATTTATTTGTTGATTCAAATCATGTAACAAATACTGAGGACAGGGTTCTGGGGGACAGCTGTGAGCATGGGCAGAAACAGGCCTTTGCCCCATAGGTTTATTCTCGAGAAATGGGACACTGAGCAATGACCATACCATGTGCTAAGTGTGGCCATAGGTTAAGCAAGGGTAACAATGAGAACGGGGGACTGGCGTGGGCCCAGGACAGGAAAGGGCTCCCAGAAGAAGAGTCTTTCAGCTGAGACCTAAGAATGTCAGTAACGTGACGAGGTGGGGATGGAGTTTGGGGTTATCTTCCAGATGGTGACAGATGGCAACCACTGAGAACTGGGAGTGAAGGAGCATGGGGCAGAAGAAGGCCTGAGAGGTGTTCTGCATTCTTGGGGCTCAGGGCTTTTACATGTTGGGGGCCAGTGGGTAAAGATTACTACAGGGTAGATTGGTGGTGAGGAGGAGCTTGGGCCCCTCACATAGAGCCTTGTGAATCTATGGAAATAGCTTTACTGAAGTCTGCTTTCCAACGGACTTTCACTAGATTTCACTTACCTTTCTGCATTCTACGTGGAGCCCACGCTCCCTCATGCTACAGTGCCAGGCCTCGCCACGTTCCACAGTTCAGAGCAGCAAGGCATTATGCTGCCCCAGAAGAGCAGCTCACTTTTACTGAGCACTTTCTGCTAAGCACATCATTGTCTCCCTAATTCTTACAGGCTCTCAGTGTAGCGGATATTCTTTTCCTTTTCTTACAAATGAAGAAATTGAAGCTCAGAGAGGTGATCCGACCCGTGCAAGTTCGTGCACCAGAATGTGGTGGAGCCTGGTCAGCCAGTTCAAAGGCCCATGTCTTCTGTGCCTGCCTAGCAGAGGAGGCCGATGTGTCAACACGTAAGCCCATGCTGGCGGGGCAAGCAGTGAGAATGCAGAGTGAAGTCAGCCTGGCAGAGGGACAGGAGAGGCTATCAGCCTTCCTGGAGGAGGCTGGCCTTACTGGAGAGGCAGGATTTGGACAGATGGTGACGGGGCTGCAAGTATCAAAGGGTCCCTTTTAATATCTTCTCAGCAGTGAGTAAAACTCCAACATCTCGTGGGTCTCTTGCTGCCACCACCAACCCCCTCCCTGGCCAATAGTGTTTTGAGGAAATAGGCAAACTAAATAGGGATCTGCTGTATCTTGCACGGTGCTGCCCAGTATAATACCTGGCACTTAGCAGGTATTGTTGAACTTCACTTGCCTGGTGAATGAGGGCACTTGGGCAGTATCTGCGTCCAGGCTCTGCCGTCACTGCTTGCTGCCCCCAAGCACTCTTCCTGTGCCTCTGGCAGAGCGTGCGGCCCACTATGTCCTGTGCTCTCAGGGGCCCCAGCAAGTTGGCAGCACCCGTTGGAACTAAAAATGCATCTCCATTCTAACTCTGCTGTAGAAAGGCAGGCTATGGCTTGTACGCGGCATTGCGGCTATGACCATCCCAGCAAGGCCTGCGAGCTAGAGGGGCAACCCCCTCCCTCTGCTGGGGAGAGGGGCAAAGGAAACAGAGAGCCTTCCTACAATACATGGAGGTCTATGCACCCCTTAAAAAAGAAAGGGAGGCAGAGCCGGGTGTTCTGGCATGAAGTGAATACCAAAGAATTTTGTTGAATGAAAAAGTAGGGTGCCCAGCTGAACAGAGTAGGCTCCCTTTTGTATGAACACACGTGTGCGCATCTGTCCCTATGTGCTCTATGGGAAAACAGACAAGGTTGGTGCTTTCCCTGGGGAGGGGCCATTTTTCCTGTAGATCCCTCTGAAATACCTAGTGATGGCTGTGGGGGTGGCAGCCAAAGTCTAGTGAGCAGCTAGCTATTACTGTCTGGCAGCTGTCAACACACAAATTATCTCTCATTAAAGCTTTATACAATCCCATGAAGTAGTATAATCTGTTTTTTGTTTTGTTTTGTTTTGTTTTACTGAAAACCAGAGCACAGAGGCGTTAAATAGTTTACCAAAGATGATCTAAAAAGCGGAGACCTGGCTTAGAGCTCAGGGGGCCTGGTCTCCAAACCGATGATCTCAGTAATACAATGCACATGTTATTTTTCTATAAAAAAACAAGTTCCTGAGAAATTTGTGATTCTCAGTATTGCCTCATCCACAGGGTCCCGTGACTCTGTTAGGCGTGGGCTGGACTTCAGAGGTGAGCCGCTGGTCTGACGTGGGCAGACCGAGGCTCAGAGAAAGGCCGGAACTTGTCCCGGAGGGTACCCCTCCCTCCCCCGTCCCCAACCCCGCGAGCCCCAGGAGCGCTGCACGTGGTAGGCGAGCGCAGAGGCGCTTCCTGGCGTCCCGGGAGAGAGCCCGGCTGATGAAAGGCCGCTCCCAAAACGGCTTCACGGCGTGGAGAGGATTCTCTCCTGGCCCCGAGGCGAGCCCGGCAGGCGGCTCCTACCGGTAGGGTGACCGCGCGGGGCCAGCCCCGGGGCGGGACCCAGGAGGGCGGCGCGTGGCGCGGCGCGGCCGGAGGGCGGGGCGCGTGCGGCGGTGCGGGAGGCGGTGGCGTTGGAGGTGGTGGGGCGGCCGGGCAGTGGGGCAGCGGTGGCACCCCCGACCTCCCGCGTCCCCGGGCGATGGCGACGAGGGCGGCGGCGCGGGTGGGTGAGTGTGCGCGGGCGCGCTCCTGTGTCTGCGTCGCGATCCCAGATTTGAGCCGTGCGGGCCCGGTGCTGCGAGACCGCCTGGGTGTCCCTTCCTGGCCCGGGGTCATCGCTGCGGGGCGCGTCCAGCTTCTTCCGGACGCATTTGGGCCCTTTCGCGTCTAGTATGTGGGAGCTGCTCTCGGGCGGCTCCTGGGAGCCGGTGGCCTGCTGGGCTGATTTTTGGGGTGAGGGGGGACCCTGACACAGCAGACCCGAAGCGGGACTGGAGGACAGTGATTGTGGCAAGGCATAGCTGCCCAAGACCAAGGCCAGGTGAAGTGGGTCATCTTGATCTGAATGAGGCAGATTATGTTCTGGTCCGATCGCGATTGGCTCCTTGACCTTGGATAGTTCACTTTCATTTCTAGGTCTTAATTTCCTCATCTGTAAAATGGAGAGCTTGGACCCGTTGTTTCTCAAGGCTTTTTCACCCCAAAACTTATGTGACAGGCCGGCCCTTAGGGCTTCTTGTTGGGACTTTCCAGTTTAACAAAAACCAAACCTGACTAGTGAACACTGGGATGTATATTTTCTCCCAACCCCCCACTTCCCCAGCTGCCCCCCGACCTCTCTTCCCCAAATCTCAGTGAGTCATCTGGTTACTGGGGAGGCTGGGCACTCAGTGTTTGCAGAAATAGAGACCTTTATTTGGAAGGACTTAAGGACATCTGCCTTTTCAGGGACCTGCCACCTAGGTAAAAACGATGGATAACTGGAAGTTCCAGTTAAATGTAGAGTCAAAGGCAACTAAGGAAACTTGGAGAAGTTGGGGGGTGGACGACCAGTTAGTTGCAGGAGCCGCAGGGCTATGCTCAATCCCTGGCTCTACCTGCACCTTGATCATTTGCCTCTTTCTCCCATGTTCCCCATAGGACTGGTGCATTCCTGGATGGGGTCCTGAGCCCAGGACACACTGATAGGTAATGGGGCAGTGTCCGCCCTTGGTCAGTCTTGCCAACATCCCTCCTGCCTTCTGCAGCCTCCCGGTGGACAAGGGGCTGCAAGGTGAGTGAAGAGGCTGCCCTGATTAGGTCCATCCTGGCCTCTGGTCTGTACCTGTCCCCTCCTTGGCAGTCCTCCTCTCACTTCTGGCCTTTGCCAGGCCTTCCCACTGCCCCAAGGCGCTGCCCATCCCCACTCCCCCCACTGCCTTGTTTGGTCATTGTTTGTTTCTTACTTTTCCTTCTTTGAGTTTATCTTTTCCATCCGGTGATGATCCCCAGCAGGGAGGTCTGAAAAGGGACTTAAGATTTTACTTCTGGTTTTATAGTGGAGAAAGCACAGTGCTTGGCATTGTAAGTGTCTTAGTGAATAGCTCTGGAGTAAAGATAACAACAGCTATATTCTTTCAGTGATTCTTATTTGCTCAGCCCTGCTTTGAGTAATTTACCTGGATGAACTCTTGAAGCCTCACAACAATTGAGTTACCATGATTATCTCTACGTGTAAAGAAGAGGCAGAGAGAAGTTAAGTGACTTGCTCCATCCAGGTCACACAGGTGGGAAGTGCAGGACTGTGCAGGTTACTTTTAGCCATTGCACTAAATAGCCAGCCTTCAGTGGAAAATGGATCTAGAGACTATATTTTCCTGATGGACCTAAGAGGTGATCAGATGAGGCAGGAAAGAGCTTCATTGTTTGCCAAGTGCAGGGCAGACATCCTTGGGTTATTTATTGTTGCTTTCATGCCTGTTGGAGGTACAAGATAAGAGGAAGGAAGTACGGGTGATATGACTGACTGGTAAACGCATAACAATGTTTGGGAGTATCTGCTGTGGGGCAGGCCTTGGGCAGGTGAGGCGGAGGTGGTCCCTGCCCTCCCAGGGCCCAGCATCTCAGGTGCGGACTAGAATGTGTTGCTTGATCACACCCGGGAAATGCAGTCTCTCTGGAGTGACTCTTTTTTTTTTTTTTTTTTTTTTAAGTGGCATAGGGAATAGGCTTAGAGACACCCAGACCTGGGTCCATAGGTTCAGGGGCATGGGCGTTATGGACGTGGGAGCCAGATGGCCTGGGCTGACCTGCTGGCTCCATAGTGTCTAGCCACCCTACCTTGGGCAGGTCTCTTCACATCTTTGACCCTCAATTTTCTCTCCTGTAAAATGAGCAAAACCTGTAAGGAAAGGGGCTTGATTGGTGAGCAGGGTACTGGATGTCATGCTTATACTTCCTTCTGTTATTCCCCACAGCAGTTATGCCAGTTATGCCTTCCTGAACCCATTTTGCAGATGAGGACAGCAAGGCTCAGGGAGTTAAGGACCTTGGCAGTGAACGTCACAGATCACGGGAGTGGCTGAGTGAGGATTCACATCCAGGCTCTTTGGCACCAAAGGCCTCACTCTTTTCCTGTCATTTTGCTGCCTTGTCACCTCAGACCCTGATACAGGGCAGGTGTGTGATGCCTGTTAGTGAAAGGCTCATTTCTGTATATTGTTGATTGGTGGGGGGGGTGCACGGGGGGGCTCCCACGTGGTCTTCCAGAGCTTAAAGTCAGGGCCGGCTCAAGTGCATGCAGTCTGCTCAGTCACACAGCACTCCCCACTTAGTTAGGTCCCCCCACTTGGTTTAAGGCTCTGCTGTCACCGTCTTGAACTTTCTCATCATTTTAGAACACGGGACTTCACATTTTCATTTTGCACTGGGCCCTGCAAATTGTGCAGCTGGTCCTTTTTAAAGAACCGAGAGAAATGGAAGGTGGTGAGGGAGTGGGAGTCAGGTTCTCCTTTTTAGAGGAACTGAGCAGTGGTGGTCAGCCCTTGGTCTGGCTTGGAATCAGGCAGAAGACACTTCCTGTCTTCACCAGTATTGAGAACTATGGCAGCAAAAGATGACTCTAGTGGGTTTTTGTTTGTTTGTTTGTTTGTTTTAGCAGGGCTGGTGTGCCATCCCAGGGATTTAGGCATGATCTTCCTCGGTGAGGGGTGACTCTCAGTCCCCTGGTAGAGGCATCACAAATAAGGTGTGCAGGTTCTACCCAGAGTATATGGCACCAGAGACCCCACTTGAGCATCAAGGAAATACCCATTCGGATATTTCTGCTTTTGTTGACCGAATGGCTAAGGGTCATGCCTGATGTACTTTCACTGACTTGGCTCCCGAGGCTTTGGAAACACATCCAAGTTCTTTCAGAGCTAAGTGTCAAGAGGACCCATTGCTCCCCTCACTCTTGTTTTTTACCCCCTCTTTATAGATAGCAGGAACTATTTAAGTGACAGTATTGTCATTTTGCTTTGACCTCCTGGAAGTTCAAAACCAAATTCTTGGATCAGGATGGCAACTGTCCACAACAACCAGAGACAGTATTTATGGCATGTGACCTTTGTTCCACATGTTGCTATCTGTCATTTATGTCAGTGGTCCTCAACCATTTTGGCACTATGGACCATGGAAGACTGGGGTGGAGGTGGGGGGGCAGGAGGCGAACCTCAGGTGATCTTCACTCCCCAACGTGGATAGGGTGTAGGGAGACAGGAGGCGGAGCTCTGGCGAGCTTTGCTTGCAGCCGGGTTCCCAACAGGCCATAGACCAGTACCAGTCAGCGGCCTGGGGGTTGGGGACCCCTGTTTTCTATGTATTATTCCATTGATTCTTTGCAGCAACTCTGTGGGGAAGGTCCCATTATTTAAATATAGGGAAGCTGAAGCTCTGTGAGGGTAAACCACTTGCCCAAGTTTACATCACCTGTAGGTTGCTGAACTGATATTTAAACTGGTTAGTCTGGCCTTGGAGTCCAGGTTCTTCAACACAAACCTCTACCACCTCTGCTAGGGACTCTGATTGCCAGAATATCTGGGTATTTTTACTCTTCATGGTTATCACTTAAAAAAAAAAATGTTTCCCACTTCCCTGATTTTCTTTATCATTTATATTTCACAATATCTTCAGGGGAACTATTTGAGATCCTTTGTATAAACAAGCCTTCCCCATGATGAATGTACTTGTCCGCCCTTAGTAAAAGAATGGAAATCCCACATACCTAGGAGTGGGGCCCCTTCAACTCCTGGGTTCCCTGGGGGTTCCTGGATGTGTCTGAGCTGGAGAAGGCCCAAGACCAGAAAGGAGGTTCTCAGTTAAGGCCTGGGAGGGTTTTAGTTCCTCCTCACTCCCTCTGAGAATGTTCCTTTGTGTGACCAGAAAGACTGAAGTCAGTGGAAAGACTCCAGTTGGCTCTCCCAGGCCTGAAGTTATTTCTTTGCTGTTTTCTGAAGGCAAGTGAAGCTGTGCTGGCTGTTCCAGAGTGAACCAGAACCCTGAGAAGGGGAAGTAGATACCCAGCTGGTTCTCTGCTATGGCCTGTGAACCACAGATGGACCCCGGCAGGGCGGCCGGCCCCTTGCCCACCTCCTCGCCTGGCTGGAACGCCCTGCCTGTGGGGAGCCCTCCTGGCTGGGGGCAAGGTAAGGTGACCTTGAACTTCTTTCCCTGCTGCTTCTCCCAGGACCCTGAGCTGAACACACACAGTATGGAGGGAAGGCAGTGGAGGGGCACAGAAGTGCCTCTAGATGAGGGTGGGCATTTTGGGATTTGTTTCCAGGCCAGTGTCTGTCCTTTCTACCCATTCCCTCTGTTCCGTACATCAAGCCACCATCACCCTCCGCTTGGATTCCTGCTATAGCTTCCTGTCTGATCTCCTACCCATCTTGCCTCTTTCAGCCATTCTTCGACGTGGCATCCAAAGAAGATCTTATTTATTTATTTTTAAGATTTTTCTTTTAACATGCCACGAGATATCTTAATTGTATATTTTCCGAAGTACTTTTCTAGCCACATCCCCTAACCTTTCCAAGAAATTTCATCAGTCTTTCCAGTGCAATAAAAGATGCTGGAATATAGCTCTGACCACCTTCTCTGTTTGAAGGCAGTATAGTTCTAATGCCTTTGATGTTTATACATTCTTATCTAATAAGGGAAAAATGTTTACAGATATCAGAAACCCTGTTTTGGAACATCTGTATTACTTTTGGACTGAATCCGGCAGCTTGTGTATTCTAAAAAAGGCAGCAATTTGAACTCACGACCTGGTGACAAATAAGCTTCTGGCAGAGGGAAGGGGAGAGAAGGGATGTGAATGCTGTCCCGGCCAAAGTGCTGATTTCACAAAGGGATACATCAAAAGCAAACATGCAGTGGTAGTTTTAAAACTTTTACTGCAATGTAACAAGGAAGTAAACAGTAATTAGACACCTACCAAAACAAACCAAAAAAAAAAAAAAAAGAAGTAAAATAGGAAAATAATTCTGCCTATACTTGTAACACTTCTCAAGTTATGTTAGAGGGTCTTGTATTCAATGATCAAGAGATTTTAAAATAGTAGTAATTATTTTCACTTTAAGAAAAGCTTCCCCTGAGGAACTGCCTTAAATCACTTTGTTGTTCACTCAGCTCAGGCTGTGAGTTGTCACCTACCAACTGGAAGCTCCTCGAGGGGTGAGAACCACATTTCCTCTGTGTCACATAAAGTCTCTGAGGTGCCTGGCTGCGCTCTGTACCCTGTGGAGTACTCAGTACCTTTTGTTTGACGTTGCTGACAAGACCTAAAAAGTTTTATTCTTCAAAAAACCTACCATTAAAATGTAGCAAAACTGATACATTGTTCTTTCTCTTTTCTCATGGACCATAAGACATGTATATTAAAGTGGTCACTTATCTGAAGCATCCACTGTTGTTCACATAAGTATGGTTTATATGAACTACACATGCCTTTCACCAGTATTAAAGCTTAAACTGAACAACAAAAGAAAAAAAAGAAAAAAAAAAAAGAAAAGCTTCCCCTCTTTCCTCCCATCCCATGTATTTAACATGAAAGAATGAGTATTCTTGAGATTCATTTTATACTTATTTGAAGCAGCAACAGTAACCATCAATAATTAGGCATTTTTGTTTATAGTTCCAAAATTTTTTTCAATTTCATGAAGCCATCCAGTGTGCCAGTGTTGCCATGAAATAGAGACTGTAGATTCTTGGTAGCAGAGATTCTTTCTGAAATCAATGTTAAGGCAAAGAAATATTAATTAGGGCCAAAAAAATATTAAGCAGGACATTATACCAAATTTCTGGATCTAAAACAATAAAAAGAGTGAAACCTAGAAGTTACCTATCTTTTAATACAAGGAATAAAGACGTGCAAAAGCTGGTTTCTGGTTGTACATTTTATACGCTGTGTGGGTCTGCAGCACCTGCTAATTGAAGCAGACATGCACTGTATTTATCTCTGCGCTGTACCCTAGATCCCTCCCTTCCCACCCCCAACAGTCTCCTACCTTATACCAAGTATTGTGGATATGAGCCCAAGTCATCCCAAGACAAACCAGTGAACAAGTTAGTATAATGCACTGGTGTTGCTACCAGACAGGCACTGGCCCGGAGTGGGTCTGTCTCAGGCTGGCCTGCAGTGCGTGGGTTCTTGACTTCTTGTTGGAAGGATGTCACATCAAGAGTCCAGGTGATTTTGAGAATACATTTATTAAAGCTGGGGGCAGTGAAACTCAGGGTGGAAGGAACAACAGGATAGAGAGAGGCTAGGCGGTGCTCTGCTTTGACCGTCTAGAAATGTTATAGGAAGGGAGTGAGCTAAGGTGGGGCTGCTGTTAGCTCACCTGGAAGTCAGAGAAAAGGGGACCCTGGAGACAGGATCAAGGTGTAAGCCCAGGTTGAGCCGCTGCTGCCCGCTGCTCCCCCGACTGCAAGCCTCCTTGAGGCCCTTAGAGTTTAGGAGGAAGTAAAAAGTTCGTGCCCGGGAAGGGGCATGGGTGTGCTCTAGAGTGAGCTTATCTGCACTGATTCTTTGTCCTGAGGGCTTTTTATCTTCTTCTTCTTCTTCTTCTTCTTTTTTTTTTTTGTGAGTGAAAATCTTAGGGGAGGGTTTCAGCAGAATGTGCATCAGTTTTCCACATCCTGTTTTAATATGCTGATGTGTTAAAATGAGTACATAAGGGAGTTTTGGGAATATTCTTTGGTCTACTATAGTGTTTTACTTTTATCTTGGGTCTGTCTGGCTTTTAATGGGGTTTTTGTTATTTGTTCCCCTGACTTCATTTGTCCTTGGGTTTAGCTGGCACAAATGACATTAATTGGGTCTCTGTTCTCTATCTCCCAGACCACGGAGATTTAAGCTATGTATTCTCTGGTTAGGGAGGAGAGGTATAAACCATTTGCTCTCAAGTGTCCTTGCTTAGGGGAGATAACTTCTTACGATTCATCAGCTGGCTGTAAGTTGCTCAAACTTGTTTGACCCTGTTTAATTTTCTTGTCTCAGCTTCCCCATTCCACTTGCCCAGGAATTTTCCCAGCGTCTTACTATCTTGTCTCAACGTGAAGTGTGAGATTAAAACAAAAGTCCCTTTCAATCTTCATCAAAGTTTTGCTGTAGAGGAAAATTGGCAGCCAGGTTCTCATTCTTCTCTTAAGCAAAATGTGCTTGTATCACACGTCCTTCAGGACATCCTAATGCCTTTTACTGGGTCTTGTCCAGATTAAACCTGGGCTAGCTAAAGTAAAAGGTAGAAGGGGCATGATCCAACTATATACTTCTACGAGACACACACTTTATTTTTTTACCCTCACCCAAGGACATTTTTTTTTTCATTGTTTTTAGAGAGAGAGGAAGGGAGAGAAAGCATTGATGCCAGAGAGAAACACCGATTGGTTGTCTCCCCATACGCACCCGGAATCGGGACTGGGACCAGGGATCAAACTCACAACCTTTTAGTTACAGGACGACGCTCAACCAGCTGAGCTACACCAGCCAGGCCAGCGCAAGACACACGCTTTAGATTCAAAGACACAAATGTGCCTTTCTGTAGCTTCTTTTTTCCTGAGGTGTTGAATGTAGTTCATACAACCACCTCCAGCTTCTGCAGTTCTCCCACTGCCACCTCCATCCCTCCTTGACCACCAGCTTCTTGAACTGGTTCGCTTAACATCAGAGTCCAATGCCCTTGGTGTTGGCTAATTTGCTGCAGTAACTTTCTTGACCTACCTGCAGCAGTGCTGGAAGCAGGGAAGATTCTGTTGAATAATTGGTCTCATCTGTTGAAATAGAGGCTGATTTCATAAAAATTCAAGGGGGGTGTCCTCCAGAACTTGTTCTTGCACTCGTTGCTTTCATGGTTGCTGTGGCTGCAGCCACAGAAGACTGAGGAGTCCCAGTACTAGAAGCTGGAGGAGGGTCAACCACAGGCCAACTTTCTCTGCCTCTGGAGAGTCCATTAAAAGATACCCAACTACTCTGTCAGGGTTGTTGAAACTGGCTCTCAGGGCTGCAATGACTTGCTCTGGTTCGTAGCCCAGTGACAAGATCTCAGTTACCATATTCTCATAAGACTGACCTGTCACAAGCGCACTGGTTGCATCTTCAAAAAGGTTTGACTAACAAGAATCTCCTGATGTCCTGTCAGTTGATGTCGGGCTAGTAGCCACTGGTGTTTCTGCTGGCTTTTCTGCAGGGTTCTCCTGTTCTGTTGCACTAGCAGGTACAGGCTCAGAAGATGCTGTTGATGCTGGAGTGATAGACGCAGGTGTGGGAGTGGGAGCCAATGCAGGGGCGGGGGTTGGGACCTGAACCACGGCTGTGGTTGGCCCATAATAGATGCTTAATAGAAATGGGGCTGGTTCCTTACATGACTTGCGACTTGACTACTTAAAAACAAGGGTTTTTTTTTATTACTGTTATAAGAAAGCAATTTACGTGTACACATACACACACAAACAATAGGATGAAACGGATTGAAATACTTTTCCTTCAGAACTTTGAACGCATTACTCCACTGATTTTTGGCAAGCCAGTTCTTACTTCTTTGTAGGAAATTGCTTCCCCCTACACACGCACACACAGGTAGCTTTTCAGATCTTTTCCCCTAATCTAGGTGTAAAAACAAGTACATCTAAGTGGAGGACTTGCTGATCTCACTTTAAGGAACATATGAAAGGTTATTGCCAAGAATCCAGGAACTCATGGTTTGGAAGGCAAACAAAGAAACCGTGGAGAGTCTTTGCATTGCTCAGGCAAACACTTTGCTCAGTGTGCAAAGAGCTGGCTGGGAGAGGGGTTCGCATTCTCCATGTGTGAAGCCCAAACCTATGTGGGCTTTCTATTCGGTGCTGTGAGGTGGAGAGCTAGTCTGACTCCACCCGGTATCAGTGCCTACATTGTGTGTATACCTTTTCTTGTCTTTTTAAAAAAATTTATTTATTCATTCATTTATTTTTAGAGAGGGGGACAAGGAGGGAGAGAGGGAGAGAAACATGGATGTGAGAGAGAAACAGTGATCAGTAGCCTCTCGTATGTGCCCCAACGGGGAACTGAACCCGCAGTCTGGACGTGTGCCCTGACCGGGAATTGAACCAACTATGTTCTGCTTTTGTGGGATGACACCAGCCTACTGAGCCATACATGAGTCAGGGTGCTTCTTCCCTTTCTTATTTTCATCTCCTTTGGTGACATTGTTCATGTTCCTTTGTTTGTCTTTCAGAGGCTCTGCTTCCTTTTCCATGATAATGGTATCAATCTAATTTTATCTTTTCAAATTTTATTTTTATGAATCCTTTCTGGTGTGGGAGGGTAAAAACACATGCAGTTGACCCTTGAACAACATGCCTTTGAACTGTGTGAACCCACTTAACATGCTGATTTTTCTCAATAAATACCTGTACTATTTTCAGTGCATGGTTGGGAGACTGCAGATGTGAAGGGCTGACTGTATACATTGATCTATGCCATTTTATATAAGAGACTTGAGCATCTGCGGATTTTGGTATCTCTGATGGGCCCTGGAACCAATGCCCCATGGATACCAAAGGACAACTTACGTTTTGGGGGATTCAAAAATTATACTTGGGTTTTCAAATGTGTGGGGAGGAGTAGGAGAGAAGTAGATGCTCCTAACCCCGTGTCATTCAAGGGCTGGTCAATGGTACAGCCGAATCAGCGTTGCTTTGTTGTAACTTTTCACTTCTGACATGCTTGCTTTTAAGTTATGACAAGAATATTGCTCTGGCTGGTGTGGCTCAGTGGATTGAGCACCGGCCTGCAAACCAAAAGGTCGCTGGTTCGATTCCTAGTCAGGACACATGCCTAGGTTGCGGGCCAGGTGCCTAGTAGGGGGCACACGAGAGGCAACCACACATTGATGTTTCTCTCCCTCTCTCCCTCCCTTCCCTTCTGTCTAAAAATAAATAAAATCTTTTTTTTAAAAAAAGGAAAGAAAAAAATAGAATAGTGACCATTTTTGGCCAAGCACTTTATTTCCATTAGTTTCATGATTTGAAAAGTCCTCTGCAGGGGATATGATCCTCCTCTAAGTGGATGGCCCAGGATTTAGTTGCTTCTCCAAGGTTACCTGGTAGCGAGAGGCAGAGTTACAGCTTGAACCTCAGACTAACTGGCTTGTGTTTTTGTCCAGTCCCTCTACTCAGATCTGAAGGAGGGTTTGGCATCGTTCTGCCAGCCCTCCTCCCTGGGCTGGAGGGAGTTCCAGCCCCGAGCTCTTGGGGCGATGCCATTGGGCTCTGGGCCCATCCAAAGTAGTAGTTCCTGCTCAGCCAGATGGCGCTTCTGTCTGCTTTCAGAGCTCCGCAATGGCCAGGTCCTCACAGTTCTCCGGATTGACAATACTTGCGCACCCATCTCCTTCGACCTGGGAGCTGCAGAAGAGCAGCTGCAGACCTGGGGCATCCAGGTGAGTGCTGGTTTTATGAAGTTCTTACCGTTTTTCCACCTGTCCACCCACCCGCGTGTCCTTCTTTCCTTTCATCCAGCTGTTCACACAATATTTCTTAAACACTATACGCTTGCTAGGGTACGAGAAAAAGAAGATGTATTAGAACTTTCCTCCCTTCCCCAATCTTTCACTTAACAGATGTGCGATTTGGGTGCCCACTTTGTGCCAGGCTCTTAGCTGGGCACTAACACTGTAGAGGTGAATAGGTGCCTGTGCTCACATGGCTCCCCAAGCCTAGTAGGGGAGATGGACATATGCCGGATGAATCGGACGGTGTGATGTAAAAGCCACAGCAGAGGACTGTGTAAGACATGGAAGACCTTCGCTGAGAAAATGATAAACCTGCTTGGGGTGCAGGCAGTCATTATGAAAGCTTCACAGAGGAGCAGATACTTCATCTGGGATCTTGAGGAAAAACAGGAATTTGGCTGGGTAGGCAGGAGGAAGTGCATTTCAGGAGAGGAAAAGTTATATGGATTCATTGGCTGATAATGATAAGGGCAATATTAGTACCATTACCTAGGGTTTTTGTGAAGATTAAGTGAAACAATGCCCGAGGAACCCTTGCACTGTCTCTGGCACTTAGTAAATGTTCAATAAATTGTAGCTATTGCTGTTGTCAGTAAGTACCCACAGTTGTGGTTTTCTTGCCCCTGCACTTCTCAGAGAGGATTAACTGTGGATGGGGGAGACGCACAGCTCATTTTCCCCTGCAGGTCTGAGAGTTTACTTCTTTAAGCTGAATCGCATTATCGTTTAAAACAGCATTTTATCACCATTACAAGGGAGTGCTCCGAATTGATAGTACTAAGCTCACATCAGCACAACAGCTTGTTTATCTTCCCACACTTCCTTTCATCCTTCGTTTAGAAGAACAGTTTTTTTATTTTTACTTTTTAAAAAGATTTTATTTTTATTTATTTATTTTTAGAAAGAGGGGAAGGGAAAAAAGAAAGATGGGGAGAGAAACATCAATGTGTGGTTGTTTCTCATGCACACCCTCCTCCCCCACTGGAGACCTGGCCTGCAACCCAGGCATGTACCCTGACTGGGAATCGAACTGGCGACCCTTTGGTTCACAGGCTTGTGCTCAATCCACTGAGCCACACCAGCCAGAAGAAGAACATTTTTTTTAAAGAGTTATCTTTAGATGGGGTTTTGTTAACCCATGAACCTTTACATACTGTTCTGCTGTTTATCTTTCATGGTTAAATTCTAATTTCTTAAGCAATCCATGGTCATCAGGCATTTTTGCACTACAGCATTTTTGTTTGGGCAGGAAGATGTGAGTTTTCAGTACTTTGGACTGTATTAGTATTTACCTGATATTGCAGTATTGGTAATAGCACTTGTGTATCAAGGGTTCATTATGGACCCAGCACTGGGCCAGTATGCATATATAGCATATACTTAGAGACACACATCTATCCAGATAAGACATAACTGACTGTGAAAGGCAGAACCAAGGCCCCCAAAAATGTCCAGGTAATATGTACATACATATTATACATATACTTACTGTATAATGCATATGTAAGAATTGTATATATTTTATCTTATTAATGGCACACCACCCCTAGAAAGTGGGTACTCTTAGTATCCTCGTTCTACAGAGCAGGAGTTGGAGGTTCAGAGAAGGGGAGTTACTTTCTCCAGGTCACACAGCACACAAGTGGCAGGGCCAAGCTTTGCACCCAGGGCAGGCTGACTCTGGGCCTGTGCCGTCACCATTAAGGCTCCCCTGGGTCTGCCGTGGGGGACTGAACCTTGGGCTGCAGGGATCCCCCTGTGGGATGTCCTCCTCTTGAGCTCCCACCTCCCCCGTGATGCCTGGCCTTCCCGGAGCTGGGAGCCGCACCCTGGAATTGCCATCATCCTCTGAGCTCCTCATCCCGCCTTCTGGTCCAGCCCAGAGAGGGCTGGATCCCCCTCCCACGTGATAGTCATGTGAATGGGAAATGACATGCTTGCTGGCGGGCAGGAGCGGGGGACGGGTTCTCTGGGGCTGATCTTTTTCTCTTGGGTGGCCAAGCAGGTCCCGGCTGACCAGTACAGGAGCTTGGCTGAGGGCGCCCTCTTGGAGCCCCAAGTGAGAAGATATATCATCTACAACTCCAGGCCCATGCGGCTGGCCTTTGCTGTGGTAAGGAGGGAGGCGGGCCCCTGTGGCACCGCTGAGTTCAGCGTCCTGTGCTGAAGCCTGTTGGTGGGGGAAAGGCGCCTGGGGGCTGGGGACCCAGCTGCCTGGGGGAGGCAGCCCACATGGGCCTACTTTTGGTATAAGAGGGAATTTATGGCAGAGGGTTGTAGCCAGGTCCCCACATAAGGGATGGGAGGCAGGGTTAACTAAGGGCAGAGCTTGAGACTGGGGACCTACAGACCCATCACTGAGGCTCTGGACTCAGTGTCTGGCTTTGGTCAAGACTTTTCTCCTCTCTGGGACTTGGTTTCCCCATTTGTTCAACAGATGAGTCCATGTTAGCGCTAACCGTGTGTATGTGTGTATGTAGATGTGTCTACAGATACATATAAACATATACACCTACAAATATACTTGTACATGCACACACATGCATACATATGCATGGCAGAGCCAGTCTTTGAACCCAGGCGATCTGGTTTACCCACCCTTAACCACCGTGACTTGCTGCTCCTCTATGGATAAATGGTTGGCTAGCACTCCTAACCCCTACGTCCTGCTTCTCTGGGAGGGAAAAGGATGGCAGCTGGCTTTTGTTAATTTTCTATTAAGTACTGGACTGTTAACATATGTTATCTTTTTAATCCCTATGTCAGTCCTGTGAAGTATGAATCATCCCCATTTTTCAGATGAGGAAGCTGAGGCTCAGAGAGTTGTTATAACTTGTCCAGGCCGTATAGCCGTTAAAGGATCAGTATGGGTTTCTGACTCAAATTTCTCTCGCTCCAAAGCCCACTGCCCTTTTCTGTTTTATTTAAAACCAGGGAAAGCCGGGATTTGGAATGACTCTTCTAACTCTGTTTCTCTACCTTCACTTATGGTCAAGAAACAAGGGCTTGTTCTCATAGTCCCTGTGAGCTGTGTGAATCCAAGGAGATGTCATAAGTGTCCAAGGGTGTCCCCTTGGCTGGAGCTGCTTTGCCCGAGGACTGGCATTCCTGACCTTGCTCTTGGCCCGGCTTCTCGCAGGTGTTCTACGTGGTGGTGTGGGCCAACATCTACTCCACCAGCCAGCTGTTTGCCCTGGGGAACCACTGGGTGGGCGTGCTGCTCGTGACCCTGGCCGCGATGAGCCTGACCCTGACTCTCATGCTCATCTTCGAGAGACACCAGAGGAAGGTGAGATGTCCCACAACTCCAGGCACACTCCCTGCGGAAGGGCTCTGTGGGCAGGAGGATCCCAAGTTAAGAGTTTTCTCTTTCACCTGCTTCAGTGAATTGCTCCAACCTTGGAAATTCACAGTGGCCTACGTGCCCAGTGACTGAAAGAAATTAGATCACACGTGTGATTAAATCCTCTCTGTCTTTCCTATCTAATCCCTGGGGGTTGTTTTTCTGGATGCAGGCTGGGTTTTGAAAGTGTCTGGGCGGTGGGAGGAAGGCCCTGAAAGGCAGGACGTGTAGGGCTCTCAGTGATTACTGAGCCCTCCCACACGCCTCTGCCCCTGGCTGCTTGGGAGAGCTCCGAGCCAGGAGGGGTCGCCGAGTGCAAGGTGCCTGGGGCTGAGGGTTGAGGAAGGTGGGTGGGTGCTGGCCTTGTGGGCTCTGTTGACAGTTCTGTCTCATTTAACTCCAGCACTGTGACCTCTGAGGCAGTGAGAGGGTGGTCAGTGAGTTAGGTAACTTGGCTTGATACCACTGTGAGTGGCAGAGCTGGGGTTTGGAGCCAGAGCCCTCTGATTCCCGATCTTATTCACAAAGGAGATTGATACCTCTCGGCTTATGTGTGGTTCACTAATTGTATTCTGCTACTTTAACATTGGTCTTTTGTTACTTATTGGGCCCTTCATATGGGGTTGATCATCTGTTGAATGCTTTACACACATTAACTCATTTAAACCCATCCAATAAATTTCTGGGTAGTCTTTCATGCTCATTTTACAGATGAGGAACGTGAGGTTCTGAAAGCCTCAAGGAGTAGTCCAAGGCCATGCTGGTAATAGATGGCAGAGCTGGAATTTGAGGCCAGGACACTTAGACTCCAAGCTATGTACTCAGTTAATACCCGGCTCTCTTGGTATTTCATGGGTGCTGTAGCAAATGGCCATAAGCGTAGTAACTTAGAACAAAACAAATTAATGCTCTCCGGAGCCTCTAGGGGAGACTCTGTATCCTTGCCTTTTCCTGGAGGCCACCTGCATTCCTTGGCTCATGTCCCCTTCCTCCATCTTCAAATCTACTCCTGGCAGATCGAGTCCTTCTCGCATCTTTGACTCTGAGTTTTCTGCCTCCCTCTTCTATTTTTAAGGCCCCTTGTAATTACACTGGACCGCCTGGATAATCTGGGACAATCTCCTTATGTTAAGGCCAGATAATTGACAACATTAATTCCATCTACAGCCTTTATTCCTCTTTGCCATGTAATGTAACCTATTCCCGGGTCCTAGGGAATAGGACTTAGGGTTTTGGCCGGGGGGTGCATTATTCTGCCTACCATACCTCTGCCATCTTTCCTGTGCTTACGAAGCTCCCCAGCACCTGGCGCAGAGCTGGACTTTGAAATCTTTAGCAAACACTTTGCTTTTGCGTGACCCAGGAGCAGAGGGTAGGGTATTGGGAAATGTTGCAGGGATTTGGGGTATGAGTTCCATTTAGTGCCTATGCACATGAGGACAAATAGGAACTTTATGGTTTAATAATTCTGGAAAGATCTTTGTTTGGCTTTGCAACAAAGCTGACAAAATAATGGTCTTTTGGGTTTTGTTGAAGCTTTCGTGGTTGGCCTGTAAAAAATAAATGAACTGGCTGTTCCTGCAGCAAGAAACTTCTCTTGGGGCAGGGGAAAAAGAAAACTATTTCCTGCTTTAGCAGGAGCAAGCAAAATATGTGGCACCTGGCAAGTGTGTCAAGGATGCCGATGTCATTAATGCAGTTCAGGGAACACCTACTGTGGCTGCCTCCTTTTCCTGCCTCCGTCCTTGTTCAGCTGGTATCTGTGAAGACCCTGCAAGTGCCAGATAATGTGCCAGGCACAGGGCACAGAGATGAACAAGACCTTGTGTCTTCACCCATGCATGTGCAGCACGGAGGCCCCGGGTCCCCAGTGGCACTCCTGCCATCGCTGTTTGCTCATTCAGGGAATCCCCCCAAGGTCCTTTCCTTCCTAGTAATGACTGCCATTAAATGAGCATCTGCTGTGTGCTCTGTCTTTGGAACCTGATATCTATGCCCAACAACAGCCTGACAAGGAGGCAGGATACCTCTGCCGTTTGCTAGCTCTGCAATCTGGGGTAAATTATTACTTTACCTCCCAAGGTCTTAGTTTCCTCACCTGTAAAATGGGATAATTAATAATTGTAGTGCCCCCTCCCCCAGGTTGTTTGAAGAATTAAATGACTTAATAAATGCCCAGTGCTTATAATCGTACCTGGTATAAGGTCAACACTCAATAAATGTTACTCTTATGATTATTGACTCTGTTGGCCAGTGAAGGAAAAAGCTCAGAGAGGTTAAGTAACTAGTCCTTGGTCACCTCAGGTCTTGCCTCAGCTCAGGGACTTCTTCCTCCTTGGATCCCGTGTCAGTCAGGACCATGCATATCCCCCTTCCTGGCCATTGTCACTCTTACTATTGGTGTCCTGCCTGCATCATGTAGCATCCTTCAGAGCCTTAGCACTTTGCATCCAGTGCTTTGTTTTCCCCTTGTTTGGGGCAGTAATAGCCTTTCTCAAAGTGGGAAGGTTTGTGAAGGCAGGCAAAGCCCTGTCTTGTGTCCCCTACAGAGTAAAGCACGTTGCTAAGGCATGTGGGAAATTCTAAAAATATTTGTGTGTGGCCAGTATGGTACAGTGGAAAGCACTGAGTTTCAGTTCAATATCATCATTGTAATGATATCATTACCTGACATGTATTGAGTGTTTATTATTTCAAGTGTTCTCAGTGGATGAACTCATTTCATCCTTATAAGCTTTTTTATAAGGGGGTGTTAGTATCTCTAATTTGGAGCTGAGGAGGTGGGAGGCAGAGAGATAGTGAGTACTTTACCCAAAATCATGCAGGTACTAAGAGACAGAGACAGAATTTGAACTCTTGGTGATACAGGCTTCTAAAAGGGTGAACAACCCTTGCAAATGTTTCAGGCAAAACAAAATACAGTCATCTCTTGATTTTCATAGTAGTGGCGTTCCTGGAAAATTCACTGTATTTTAAACCTGTTTAAAAGCAAACACACTTTAGGTTTACATTTAAAATGGAGTTACGGAGTTAGGTTGGCCAGTTGGAGAATTACAAGTAGATTCTTCACCTGCATTCTCACTCAGTGGACGTTTTTAGTCCAGGTTGGCTAGGAGACAGTTCTTCCATGTGTGGGATTGTCTCTCATGGATCATGGACGTCACTAAAAAGTATGTGCTTATCATCCCTGACCCTTGTCCCTAAGTGCCAGCTTTGCCAGATCCATCCCTATGACAATTGAAAGGGTCTTCTTACATTTCCAAAAGCTCCCTACAGGGGTTCTGATGTTTTGGAAACCATTGACCTTGAGTGAACTGCTCTCTAATTGCATCTGAAAGCCCTTGGAGGGGGGGTCTCTTTCCCATAGCACCACTTTGGGCCCTGACACCCTTCTTCTCCCTTCTCCCTGGCCTGCTTAGCATCTATTTTGTCAACTGAATCTGCAACAACATTCGTTTGGGTGGGAAAAGAAGGAGAAAGAGTCATAATGTGCACTACCCCCCCAGCCCCGCTGAGGGGCCCGGCACTATGCTGGGTACTTTGGAAAGTAGGTGCCTTATAGACAGAGTAGGTGCACATGCTCACCCACCCCCATCTCCCCCCTTCTGCCTTCCACCCCCTGCCCCTCAGATGCCTATCGCAGCTGACTGTGTTCCAGGCACTGGCCTGAGTGCTTTACACACACAAACTCAGTTAAGTCCCCACGTTCTTAGGAGGCAGACACTCTATTCTTAGGAGGCAGACACTCTATCCTTATTGTACAATTGAAGACGGCAAGACTGAGGGAAGGCACATAGCTTGTCCAGGGCCACGCTGGCGGGAAGTAGCAGAGTTGGGCTTCAACCCAATGCTGTCTGACACTATGGAATTTATTGTCTCAGCAATTCCACAGTCCCATTTCATAGGGGAGAAAATGGATGTGTCTTGAAGAAGAAGATTGTCCCATGGCGTCTAGCAGTGGGATGGCGTGTGGTTCCTTTCAGGGCCCAAGAGCTCCCTGGCAGTGTGGACATCTGGCCACAAGGCTGGCTTTTGTCTTACAGGCCAACACCAACACAGATCTAAGGCTGACGGCTGCCAATGAAGCCCTACTGCGACATCGGGTGCTCTTGGGGGTGACAGACACGGTGGAAGGCTGCCAGAGCGTGATTCAGGTACCATGTCCCAGGGTGGCTTCTCCTTGAGGGCCCACTTTTGAGCTGGGATACTGGGGATGGGTACCCCACATTCTCCCAGTCTGCACAGTGTCTCCCAGAATCTGCTAAAAAGATGGTGTAGACAGCCCTTTCCTTCCTCCTTGTTCCAGTGTTCCTTCCTGGAGACTCTTCTCTGGGTGGTAACCAGCATCCTAGCACCTCCGGGGCAGGGCTGGAGGGGAAGCTCAAAGACTGTCCAAGCCTCACACCCCATTCAGCATTGACTCAGCAAACAGATGGGCCTCCGCTGGGCCAGCCCTGGAAGGGCCCATGCAGGGCCCATGCGAGGCTCCAGGAGAGGCAGGTCAGATCCTGAAGGCATTGCCTGCCTGGCTTGGTTGACTTTTTTACCCCAAAGATAGTGAGGAGATCTTAGGTGACTAGTATGAGGTCACACAGTGGGTCTGGGACACAGCTGGGTTACATGAGCCCCAGGTCTCCTGGTCCTGGCTGAGCTCCCCAGATGGGATTACAAAATGTTCTCAGCATTGCATCTGCCTTCTCACTTGTCACAGTCCCTTGCCTAGTGGGAGCACAGGGGTGGGTGGGTGGGTGGCTGGGGCCTGGGAAGAATTTCCTTGTGCACATCTCCTGTTTTTCCTACAAATATTTACTGAGAGCCTAGTATGTGCCAGGCACTGGTCTAGGTACTGGAGCTGCAGCAGAGAATAGACACACGCCGATCCCTGTGTTTATGAAGCCCAGCCAGCACGTCTGAGATGGCGTAGAGTGTAAGTGGAGCTTGACTGACAGCAGGGAGTGAACTTGATGGCATCATAAGATGACTGGCAGTTCAAGTGTGACATAGAGACTGAGGGGTCCATGAATCTGGGGGTCTTCTCAGTCTCTGTCTTCTGATCCTCGTTATGGACTGGCACATAAGAATGACTTGGCAAGTGGATGACTCATGAATGGACACATCTTAAATTAATCAGGTTCTTTCAGTTTCAAAGTAGTATTTTTGGGACGAGGTGACACAGTAGCTTGGATTTGCTTTAAGACCAGCCGGATGGGTGGGGTAGGACATGGAGGTGTCTGGGGTGAGTAATGGAGTGGGTAGGGATGAAACAAGAGTAGTCATGACAGAATAACTGTTGACCCAAGATGATGGGTGGCTGGAAGTTAATGACATCATTTGTTCTCCTTTTGTGTTTGTTTGGAAACTTTCATAATGAAAAGTAAAAAAGAAATTAAAACATTTTTTCCTTGGGGATGAGATAATGGGAAGGATTAGTTGGAAAGAGGGAGGTGACCTTGGCTCTCAGGGGCCTGTCACTGGGAGGAGGGAGCTCGGGGATCCAGAGGAAGTGGTCAGCGGTTGAAGGTGTGAGACATGGTTCTCCTCTTTCTTGTAAAACTTGGGTGACATGTGGCAGGTGTGGACCTGACAAGATGACATAATGTGTGAGCATAGAGGATTTCAGCCTGGCTAAGTTTGACCTGGCTTTCTGGGAGCTGTTGAGGTTGTGGAGGAAGGGGAGGTAATGGTGAGGGAGGACTTCTCTCCCCTACTCCCTCCCCTCCCTGCAGAGCAACCAGGTTGATGACCTCTGACCTGGCTAGGACCAGTGAGGGGGGATGGCTCTGAAGAGGACACTCACTTGCATGATGGGTTCCAGACCGAAGGACACTTGGTCCCTGAAGATGAAGGTGGTAGCCTTGGATGGATCCATGATGTCCAGGATGGTTTGGGGTGTGTCAGAAGCCTAGTGACGTATGGGAGGTGGGGCTGTAGCCATTGAGAACAAGTTTGCCTTCAGAGCTATCTTTCTATCAGCTATACAAAGGAGACTTCCTCATGCACGGGGACCCCGGGAGAGAGCAGACTGTCATGTTTCTGCTAGAGACCAGGATAAATCCAGTGGTCCGAAGAAGGGTAGGTCTCCGGCAAGGAGGCAAGAGGTAGAAGACCATCTCAGGAACTGAGAGTTCAAGGTCGGTTTGGCTTTCAGCCTCAGGGCTCATAGCTTCTTTTCTCCCCAGCTCTGGTTTGTCTACTTTGACCTGGAGAACTGTGTGCAGTTTTTGTCTGAATATGTTCGAGAAATGAAGACTAGCCAAGAGGTATGATATGTTAAATGAAAAACAAACAAACGAAATAAACCAGGAGACCAAACTGTATAGGTTGCATTACCTCCATGTTGGGAAATGTCTAAGGAAAAGTTATTTAGAAGGAAACCCACCCATGTCAAATCAGTGGTTGTTTTGCCTAGGGAATTAGCTCTTTTTAACTCAATGCACTTTAACTGTTCTCCTTTTTAACTATTGGTATTTTCCACAGTTCCTATAGTAAACATATGTTTATTTATAATATAATAATAATTAATTGTAATAATAAAGATGCTAGTAGAGGAAATACCATGTAGTTAAATGACTTTCACTTGTTCAAAATGCCTCTCTATCATTTATGAAGGAGATCATGGAACTCTTGCTCTGACTTCATACATGAGGAAACCAAGGCTCTGAGAAGTCCTGTCCCCACCCTCTGGGGGCCACGGGGACAACTGTTCGGGCCCAGCCTTCCTGTCTCTGAGCCCTGGCCTCCTCTGAGATCAGCCTTTTCCTGAGCCCTTTAGATGGTCTTGAAATCAGGACTGTGGTTTAGTTCTGATTTTGGCCCATTAACTGCTCTTTGGCTTGGGGTAAGGCCTTTGAGCTTCATTTTGCTCATCTGCAACTACAGATAGATATCCATGCCCCAGGCTGCTTTGAGGAGCCAATGAGATCTTGGAGGAAAAAGTGCTTTAGAAGCTATTGAGGGCTCTGCTCTCTGGGAATTACCTGAATTTCCAGTGCGGGAATTTCCAGTGCGGCTCAGTTCCAGTCTCCCAAGGTCAGCGTCTGACTCCGTAGAATGCCCCTCTGCCCTCTGTGGGTCTGCAATTCAGACAGTGACTTGGCCTCCCATATGCCACCCAACTAGGGACACCAACCTTGATCCCTCTCTGTTTCTTTTGCAGTCCTTGCTGAGAAGCAGATTGAGCCAGCTCTGTGTTGTCATGGAGACTGGGGTGAGCCCCGCCCCGCAGGCTGAGGGGCCTGAGAACCTGCTGGAGGACACTCCTCTCCTGCCCAGCAGTCCTCATCCCGCAGACGCAGACAGGCCACTCATGCAGACTGAGCTTCACCAGCTTGTTCCTGAGGCGGAGCCAGAGGTAAAGGCACCCGGGCGTCAGAGCCACCATCTCTCATGGACAATTTGCATAGAGTCCTAGTGGGGACCTCAAGGTGTAAATTTTGGGGGACATGGCTTTACTGAGTCGGTAGAGACCATACAGATCTAGCCTACTAGTTTTCAGTATGTCTCACCTCAGCACTTTAAAAATTAGTTTTTAGGAGTTGTTTGCTACTCACTTGGTTCCCCACCCCCCACTTTAAAAAAATACCTTGGATATTCTTTTTAGTAATTCCACTGGATGTGTAGTTGTGTGTTGATGGATCATAGATGGCCTACCTAATCATGAACTTGTTGATGAATATTTGGGTCATTTTTAAATCTTTTTATCAATCCATCTATCTACTTGAATTGCAGGTAGAGATTTGAATCTTTTTTGCATCTTTATTGACTTCCAGTTCCTCCAGCCCCAGAGTTCTGTTAGTCCTGCAAAGCTATCTGTTGGTTGTGACCAAGTGCTGGTAGACCAGAAATCCAATGTGTTTGCAGCTTGTACTACCCTCCTCTCACTGTGAGGAGAGACCCACTGTCCGGGAGACATGTAGGGAGGGCGACCTCAGGCATGGTGTGGTGCAGGACAGCACTTGCATCTTCTTTTATGCCAACAGATTTGGGCACTAAATGTCCAAACCAGCCTAGGCTTTCCTTTTTGCACTGGTGGGGATTGGAGGACCTGCAAATAGAATTATTATAAGAGAAAATGACAAATATGTTAATCTCTTTACTTGAATCCCATTGACTTCTTTTTTTTTTTTTTTTTTTGTTTTTTGGAGTATAAAAGATTGATAAAGTCATGTACTTTATTGTGGCATACATGTCTGAGTTTATGTGAAATAGCCTATTAAATATGATGGGTCTTTTCAATTATTTTTTCAAATTCATTCAAATCAATAGTAATATAATTTCCTGCCATGAATATCAAATCTCACAGTGTGTGCACCTGTTTTTAAAGTAGCTGCCTTTATAACTTAGCAAGGAAAAAAATATAATCAATGCCCAAGTCTCAGCATGGGCCAGGTTATCGTATTTCAGTAGGAAACCAGGGCCTGTGAGAAATAGAGAAATAGTTATAATGATCTCTCACATTTTAACCACTTTTTAAAATCACACATAAAATTCTTTAGTGTACCATCTGAGGATTGGATTATTTTTTATTCTCTGATGGATGAAATATCTCCTAAGAAGTCAAATGACTTGCCCAAGTTCACAGAGCATGGGAGAATGTGGCAAAGCCAAAGGCAGAAGCCAACCCTACTAATTCTAAGTAGGCCAGGTTATTTTTGTTTTTGTTTTTGTTTTGTTTTTTGTTTTTTTTGTCACAGCTCTTTGCTTCTTAGGTTATTGATTTTAGAGTAAATGGGCGAGAAGACCCACCTGAGTTAGTAAGGTTCGTTGAAGTTTTCAGTATTTTCTAGCACAAAAGATAACTATTTCCTAGCACATAGGAAACACAGGTGCTGCAGAGCTAGGTGGGAGTTCCTGCCTTTTAAAAATAATGATCATGATAATGATATTAATGTGATTTACTGAGCACTTGGTACTAGGCTTTCTATCCATTAGTTCCTTTAATCCTCACCCCAGCCCGACCAGATACATGCTATGATTTCCTCTCTTTTGCTGATGAAGAAATGGGCTCAGCAAGATGAAGTGACTTGCTCAGGTTCCGTCACACGGTGGCTGAGCTGAAATTTCCACTTAGCCTTTTGATTTGAAAGCCTGTTCTTAATCACTGACTCTACCAACATGAACAGCTTGCTGCCAACCACACCCTACTTTATTACATTCAGGCTGGACACAAGTACATGTTACAAAAGACCTTCAATGCCACATGTAAGGAAGCATTTTCCCTAGAATTCCAACTGCCAGACCCATAAACAGAACTTGAGAGCCCAATGTGTTAGTAAGAACATGTGTAAGTCCAATTTTTAAAAATCTTTTTAAAATTCTTTTTGACTGTTTAATTTTTCTCATTGCAGTAAAATACATAATGCAGAATTTACCACCTTAACCATTTTTAAGTGTGTGATTCAGTGGCATTAAGTACAGTCACCTTGCTGTGCAACATCAGCGTCATCTGTCTCCAGAACTTTTCCACCTTCCCAAACTGAAATGCCGTACCTATTAAACACCAACTCCCTCACCCTCCTCCCCCATCCCCTGGAAACCACTGTTTTCTCCTCTCTCTATGAATTTACTTCTCTAGGTGCCTCATATAAGTGGAATCATACCGTATTTGTCTTTTTGAGATAAATCCAGTTTTTGTAAGCGAACTCTTAATATGGTAGGGTCACTTGCCTAAAGCAATCCAGCAGGTACCTGGTATGAATTGAAGAGTCATGCCGTCGTAGGGGTATTCTGTTTCCGCCCACCCCCACTCGTGATTTTCTTCAGGTGCGTTTCCTTGACCTCATGGATTTTACAGGCTCACAGGCATTGGAAACTGGAAACTCTGTGTGTGTGTGAGTGTGTGAGTGTGTATGTGTGTGATTGGCTGGGATAAATCAGTCCTAAATTCTCTAGCACTTGGAGGATCCATAGTTTTTTTGTGTATATTCTTATCACCTATCAGCAGTTAGGTTACCCTCCCTGGAGATGAGGAAACTGAGGCTGCAGGAGCCCCTCAGCATCAGTTGCAGAGCTGGGGTTCCAGTCCAGACCAGGCATCTAACAAGGGCCCCAGATGGAGGCCTGGCCAGGTTCTTCCTAGTGAGCATCACTGCTGGCCCGGGGGGTGAGGAGATCTTGGTTTCCCCACATGCATTGGCTGCTCTGTGTGTGCCTCATTCTGCTTCCCTGCCTCTTCCAGGAAATGGCCCAGCAGCTGCTGGCAGTGTTTGGTGGCTACTACATCCGGCTCCTGGTCACCTGCCAGCTTCCCCAGGCCATGGGGACCCGGCACACAGACTCTCCAAAGGTCCCGTGCCCCTGCCAACTCATAGAAGCCTACATCCTGGGCACTGGGTGCTGTCCGTTCCTGGCCAGGTGACGTAGGGACAGAGGTACTCCTCTTCCTTCAAGATTGAAGGTGAGAAGTCAGGGAGGCCTCAGGAGCCCAAGGTGGCCCATGGCGAGCCCGAGGTGAGGAGAGAAGAATCTGGGGCACTCTGAAGGATGTCAGTCATGCCAGCAGTGGGGTGTCATGCTCACCACAGGACCCTGCACAAAAATGTCTGTTGACATCTCATGATCACCCCAGTCCTCTTCTGAAGCCGTGGTTGCTGAATTGATCCCAGCTAAAAGCTGCTCTCCATGCTGCTTGGAGCTGTGGGCCTGGATGGAAGGGCCGCTCCGCCGTCCCTTCCATTGGACAGCCCAGCAAATGTGAAGATGACCAGACTGGCCAGACATGTCTACAATCTGGCTTCAGGTGATGTGCCCAACTCCAGCCCCTCGTGTCAGACGGGGAAACGGAGGCCCTGGCAGGTTGCTGCTCTGTGCAGCATCGCCTTGGGCCTCTGAAATGACAAGCCTTCCTCTTCCTACTCTGAGAAAATGAAGTACATTTTCAGAACGTTCTCCTTTTTACAGTTTTCTTTTTCTATACTTAAGGAAAAACAATGGTACCTGTGCTTGTCTGCCCGTACACAGACTTCCAGGGGACAGAGCAAAGAAACCAGCGACGCATGACTGTTAATGGAACTATTTGGAGAAGATGCATTTTGTCTGACTCGAGGACTTCCTTTCAAAGACATGCACGGTTGTGGTTGTGGTTTTATACTGCAGATGCGGAGTGAAAGCCCTGTTTTCTGACACTGTCACTGCCCTGGAGTGAAGCATCATCTTCGTGGAGTTCCACAAAGAACTCAGAGGTTTCCAGGTTCTCTGCTGCTGAATAAGTTTGAAGACCTATGATTCCATTCCAGGCCTGAACCCAAAAGCTCTAGCCTGGCATTGAGAGGCTCCCCAGTCCCCAGAGTCTGGACTTCATCTGCAGTTTGGCTTCATCTCCCGCAAAATAAAAAGTTTAAGTTGAACCTTTTACTGGACTGACATACCTATTCCTTTCCATCTGTTGGGCTCCTATGCATGCTTCAAAGCCCAGCGTTACTTACCCCAATTTAGGAAGCTTTCTAGCACACCCAGTTCTGCTCCTGTCTGCTTGCTTTAAATTCTTGATGTAGCTGCTGCCTTTACTGATGTTTTATTAATTCTATTTTCCTGTGTACATGCCTGTTTTTCTAGCTCGACTATAAACTCCTCAAGGAAAAAGACTACACCTTATCTTTTGTGCATGGCCTGATCCTGCTAAGAGTATTTGTTCTGTCACCTTCCATAGTAGCTTCTGCAAATTGCTCTTTAAACTCAGTTGAATGATGAGGTTGGCAGAGATCTGGATCCTGGTCCTGAACTGTTACTTCTGGCTGTGTAACTTTTGGCTGGTCCTCAGTTTAACCATCTATATAAGTGGTAAATTGGATGACTCTTAACGATCCTTCTAAAGCCAAAGTTACAGGAATTGCCAGTTTTTTCTGCTCCATGACAGCCCTTGGCCTGCCAGTCTTTTACGCCTTTACGTACATGTAGAAAGGTTTTATCACCCCCCGGGGCTGAGATGTCTCAGACCTGATGCACCTTTGGACAGAACCCTGGCCTAGCCAGCAGGAGACCTGGATTCTCATGCCAGATCTGCCACTTCCTAGCAGCATGACCTTGGCTAGGTCACTTAACCTCTCTGAGTGTCAGTTCACTCCTTTATAAATGGATCTGGTGAATATGAAATGTAATAATGTGAGTGACTTACCATGTAAAAGATGAGTCTGACTATCGCTTTCTCTGGACCAGAGGGAAAAAAAAATTGGTAGACGAGCCCTTGGAAGTGGCTGTTGTAGGCATTTCTCTTTAGCCATCTCTTAGGGCAGCTTTGCTCAATGAGAATTATTTATGAAGGGGATTGCTGTCTTTGTCACCAGCCACAGAGGCGATGTGGGCTATGAATGTGATCGGTGGAAGCCCATAGTTACCATCCACCCATAAAGTCCTGGCAAGTATGATAACAGAATAAAAATGTGTGTGTTAAATGACAAAACAGCAGTTTTCCCACTTTAGGGCTTTAAGAGCCCTTGTGTAGTTTTTCCTGCCTCTCTTCTGTTTCTGACGATCTCCCCTGCTGGGCGGGGCATTCAGCAGTGCCCACCAGGTGTATGCCTCAGGTTTCTCGTTTAGAAAAGTCTGCCATCTCTCTGGCCTACTTCATAGGGTTGCTGTGAAGATCAGATTGAGCAAATGAGCGTGCACCCTAAGTTTGAAGGCTGCATTCATGACAGCCACGGGGACGATGAAGATGGTGCAGTGACCTGAAGCGGATGCTTGGATTCTAGAGTCACAGTGATTCCATTCCAAGTTCTGCCTCTTAGGAGCAGCGTCCATCCCACCCTTAGGTCTCACTGCTCCTGTGGGAATGGGGATTAGAGTACCTACCTGGCCTGTTATTGTGAAGATACAACGAAGTCAAAAATGTAAAAGCGCTTGCAGCTTTGAGTTGTAAGCTTGAGTAAGAGCTCAATAAACTGTTGCTATTGTTCTTAAATCTCTCACTATGTCTTGTTTACTGTAGGCACCTGATGTATATTTTTGTTGATGTAGTAGGTCATTAACAGTTTATGTTTATTCGGTCTGCATCAGACCTCAGTTACCCCAGTGCCGTAGGGTGTGTTTATGTGAATTAAGATTCTAGTCAAATCTTTCTTAAATTCAGTACTGGGAGACAGTCAGTAGAGCAGGGAGATTAAGAGTAAACTGGTGACTTTGGGCCAGATGTTTGCACTCTCTGTTCCTCTTATACTTCTATTTCCTCATCTGTTTAGGGGTGTGGGATAATAGGTGGGTTAGTCAAGGCGATGTGTGTAAAACACATAGTGACGGCTCCATAAGTGACACCTTCCCTCCTGCAGCTGCCACGTGCTGTCTTCCACCTGAGTCTGTTAGTTCAAGCTTTTACCTGCCTTGTGCAAGTCTATATCCCTACTGACATTGGTGTCCTTGTTCTGTCATCGACAAAGCTAGGGAAATCTCCAACTGTGAGTGTAGGTTTTGTTTCTCCTTTCACTTCTGACATGTTTTTTTAATGATATGGTTTTCAAAAAATGGTGATGTAATTAACATACCATAAAATTCACCATTTTAAAGTATATAGTTCAGTAGTTTTTAGTATATTCATAAGATTGCACAGCCATTGCCACTATTTGATTCTAGAACATTTTTGTCACCTGCCCTTGCCCCCCATTCCTCCCTCTCCTCAGCCCATGACAACACTAATCTATTTGCTCTCTTTATAGATTTCCCTATTCTGGACATTTCATTTTTTTCCACATAATGTTTTCAAGATTCATCCGTGTTGTGGCATGTATTAGTACTTTATTCCTTTTGAGTGGCTGAATAATATTCCATTGCATGGTTATACCACATTTTGTGTATGCATTCATCAGTTGAGTTGTTTCTCATTTTTAGCTATTATAAATAATGCTGCTATGAATAATTCACTGCTGACAAGTTTTGCTCTGTTTTTACATGCATACAAATTTAGAAACCTGATAGGTTGACCCTTTTAGCTTTATGATATAGCCCTCTTTATCTATATTAGATTTTTTGCCTTAAAATTTACTTTGTATAACACATTAGCTTTCTTTTTAATAGTCATCACACAGTATATCTTTGTTCATATTTTTACTTTCAACTTACCTGTATCCTTATATTTAAAGTACCCCTCTTGGGGGTATATGGGATTTAAAAAAACCTCAGTTTCTTTTTTTTTTTGCTGGAGTATTTGCTATTTCTAAGGTACTACTGACACATTAGATAGATTAGGGCTTATATGTACCATTTTACTATTTTCTATTTATCCTCTTTTGCTGTGTTCTTTTTTTCTGTCCTTTTTTTTTTTTTTTTTTTGCCTTCTTTTGCATTATTTTTGTAATATCTCTTCTATTAGCCTGGGAGGTATGTATTCCTTGCACCACTTTCTGGACCATCCAGACTTCAGAACTCACCTTCCTGCCTCTTGTGCTATTGTTAGGGATTTCAGTTATCTCCATGTTTTGAACCCCAACAGACATTATTGTTTGATGCAGTCAGTATTCATTTAGATTTATTCACGTTCTCTGTGTTTTACTCTGCATTACTTTTTCATTACTCTCTATCTATCCTTCTTGCATTATCACACATTTATCTAGAATCCTTCTCCTAGAACTATCTTTGGAATTTTTCTTCAGTATAACATAGTATTTAGTCTATTTAGAAATACCTTTAGCATTTTCCTTCTAATACAGATCTTCTGGTGACATTTTGAGTTTTTGTTTGCTGAAAAGTCTCCAACTTGTTTTTATTTTTGAAAGCTATTTTTTGGTCATTCAAAAATTCTAGGGTCCTAGCTATTTTTTTTCAACTTTCGGAAGATGTCACTGGCTTTCATCGTTTCTCTTGTGAAGTCAGCTCTGAGTCTTGTTGCTCTTCTTAAAGTTTTATCTTTGTTTCAGGTTTCAGCAATGGTTTTGATGTGCCTAGGTATAGAATTCTTTGTATTTATCTTGCTTGGGGTTCATAGCCCATCTTGAATCTGTGGCACAGTATCTTTCATCAAAGCTTCTACCCCCTTTACTCTCATCTCCTGGGACTCTAATGATAGGTGTGTTGAGACATTTTCACTGTGTCTTTAAGACTCTGTTTTCCATTCTTTTGGTGCCTCATGATTCACTCTGAATATTTTCTGCTGAGTTACATTCTAATCTATTACTGTTGCCCTCATTTGTGTTTAATTGTTAATCTTTTCACTTGGGTTCTTAATTTCAGCTATCATAGTGTTTAATCCTATACATTTTAATTAACTTTTACAAATAATTTACAGTTCTCAATGAGTCATCCATCTTCATCTATTTCCTTCAATATTTTAAAGTCCATGTCTAATGACTCCAATATCCAGCTCTTCTAGGAAGATCTGTTTCTTTTGCTTTTTGGTCAATTGCTTTTATCCTCTGGTATTCCTGGCAATTTTTGATTAATTGCTAGACATTTTTTTTTTAAATGAAGAGATATACAAGAGTCTGGATATGCCTTCAGAAAGAATTTACTTCTGCTTCTGAGAAAAGTGGGGTTAGGATAGATTTGACTCTGGGTTTTAGTCCTGTGAGACCTGTTCTGTTTCTTGTTAGCCCTGACTTGCAGATTACAGCCCTTCAGGGATTTTAACTAAAAACCTGGTTAAAACCCTTTTAATGACCAGGACTCCTCCTTCAAGGTGACCCCTCAACCTCCGATTTTTGTTACCCTAGTCTGTGAATCTGCCAAAAGCTCTGCCCCATTCTTTAGCCTCTTAGACCAGCTTAGGAACTGGCGGGTGCCTTGACGGAGCCCGAAGACCTCAGTGTCCACTTCATTTCTCTGCACTTACTTTCTCTCCAGGGTCTTGGCCTCTTGAGTCCTTACTGCATTGGTAGCTCGCTGATGCTTTTGGATGGATTTGAGAAAGTCCTCCAAAACTAGAGCTTTTAAAAATTGTTCTCCCAGGAGGGTTGGTCTGACATATAATCTGCCACAGTCAGAGGGAAGGTTTGGCTGTGGTTTCCATTATTATTATTATTATTATTGTAATGATTTGAAAAGCCTTCCAAAAAGATGTCATTCTGAGGCTCAGAGCCCTTTGACAGGTTCACAGGGATGTGAGTCTCTTACCGTCCCATCTGTGAAGAGGCTTCTAACTAATGAAAGCAGGAAGTGACATTTAAGGAGCATCTTTTATGTGCAAAGCACCTGCAGCATCTATGCAGAAAATAGTTCCAAGACAGAAGGAATATGGGGTTTTCTGGGGAAGGGAAGTGGGACCTTGGCATGGGAGGTGGTGAGGAATGCATGGCACAGATAAGAATTGGAGTCGGAAGATGGCCCAGGGGATGCAGTGTAAGAACAGGAAGTAGAAGGGGACCCTGGACAGTGAAGCACCAGGAAAGTGGACATTTCTTCACCCAGCTGATGCTGTTGGGGGTTCTT